GTCAATGTATGTATGAGTGTAGTGTGACTGCAAGTGTTTGTATACAAGGCCTCTACGTTGTGCGTGTGTGCATATGTGTACACAAAGTGAATGTCTGCCATAGGCTGTATATGCATGTGGAAGTATCTATTAGAGCTGTGTGAATAGGGATATTTTTTTTGTTTGAACTGAAAAATAAAATTAAAACAATTCATTTTGGGTTGACCCGAAATGAAAATTTTATATTTTGTTTCTTTCCTGAGTTTAACCTTTTTTAAAATAAAACTGAAGTAAAATTTGAAACAAAAAAGTTGTTTCAAGTCCAAAAATCAAGCTGTTTCATTTAGAAAACACTAAAATCGAAATTTTGTTTTTGTTGGGAATTTTGGTGTAACTGAAACAATTCAGCAAATTCAACACAAATCCACAAAATGTTTCCATCGACCCGAATCTGCATATTTGGGGCAGGGGAGTTTTGGCTGAAAATTTTCATCTGGCTCTAGTATAGGTACGCACATGTATGCCATCTGAGTGTGTCTGAGCGCACAGGCTTTGTATTCAGAGTGTGTGTGTGTGTGTGTGCGTGCGCTGTGTGTGTGTGTGTGTGTGTGTGTGTCTGTGTATTCTGCTTCTGCACAAAACTGTTCTTTCATGGACAGCCTGTTGTAGCAATTGATACAGAGTAGCTTGGCTGCTGCTGTTTGTCTGGCTGGGTTTGTCCCTCCTTTCTGTAGCCTACACTGCTGATGCATCCCCCGTGTTTGGTGGCTGCGGGGCATTTCCTCCTGTTAGGATCATTTCTCCCCAGCCGTGCCATTGCTGGAGGGATTTAGGCAGGGAATCAGGCACACCCCACCCACCTCTGCCCACGGTAGCTGTGGTAACGGCATATGGCCAGTTTGCAGACACACACGCTTGGTGCTGACATCAGCCGCTTTGGGGCACCCCATCGTATTTCTGGGCTGCAAATGAGACTTTCATACAGGACCAGGCTAGCTCGGGCTGTCACAGGCAGTGATGGATTCTCTGCGTCAGCGGAGAAGTACGGAGGTAGGTGCAGAGGAGGAGAGGCGAGAGAGAGATGGCTCAGGCATATCGTAAACAGGACAGCGGCTGCCACCGACTTGGGCGCTGGCAGGAATTTGGAAGGATTAATTAAAGTAGCATCGAATCAATGTCAGAGCGAGGTAAGGAGGCTGTGTGCACATCTGCTTCTCTCCAAAGGGGCCAGGCAGCTAGGGGAGAGAGGCAGCAGCCAAGGAATGGCTGGTAACGTTCTGTTCCCCGTCTCCTCCTACCATAGTCTCCTGTAGTGTAGCAGGTCCCTCTTCCCCACTCTAATGATGTGGCAGTGGCTAGAAAAGCACCATGTCTTTATCCATCATCTCCCTAAGAGAGACACACTCCACAGCCTGGGATACAGTTGGGAGAGCCCCACTCTGCTTTGCAAACAGCCAGCAGGATCGTGGGCCAACCTGTGACTGTGGCATCCCTGGGGCTGCTGATGGAAGGAACAGAGAGACCGTGGCGTTTGTGGTGCCAGCCCACAGAACAATGGGGTTTTCCTGCTCGCCAACAGGGTGAATTTGTTGTGGAGTCACTGAGAGAGAATAAATCCAGAAACCCAGGAGGTCATTGCACAAAGTCCTTTCCCAGATGGTAATTGCACTTTAAGACAAACGAGCACTCAGAGGTGGCTTGTTAGTGGTTTTTATTCTACTTAATAACCCGCAGGAAAGCCAGGCGGGGGATTACCCTGGGTGTTGACGTGGCAATAAGGAAAGTCAGCCAGCATCCCAAATTCCACAGCATCAGACACAGCTCACGTCCTGCTGGCCAGCCAGAGTTTCGCTGGGATCCTGGGGCCAGTTCAGCCAGAGGGCCCCTTTTCTGGGGTTGGTTCCTGCATAGAAAGGGATTTCCTGAGGCCCCCTAGGCCAGCCTGGATTGGGGGCGCTTACTCCTGAGAGTGTGCTCACCATAGAGATCACAACCCCATTGGCCTTTGAACGGCACAAGAGACCTGAGCAATTTCATGTCTAGAATACTCTTCCTCCCCAAGGGGTTCTCAGCCCCTTTGTCAGGGCCCTGTCTCCTCCCAGCTTTCCCTGCTTTCATACTGCTGCCCATTAGCAAGACCCAGCCTCACATCCTTGGCGTGGTAGTTACCGTACACGATGTGCACCCAGCTCCTCCGGTCACGCTACTTCCCCCTTCTGCCATCCTAGCTCTCTCTGTCTCTTTTTCCTGGCATGGCGGAGCATCAGCCCAGGAGCAGGTCTCCATTATAGCACCTTAGGCTATTCGGTGCTGGTAATAGGGGCCAGGCAGGCCGAGTCCTCTGGTTAACCCCAGAAGAGGACAAGCGCGGGCAGGTTCTCTCCACGTGGCCATGCCAACATGCCTCAACTGGAAGGGCCAGTCTGGTGGGCGAGAGGGGAACCCTGTTTCCATGGCCTTTCTTGAGTCTCTGGTTTCTCAGCTGAAGCTGTTAGCCGGGGGCTGGTCAGTGCTAGTCCGTAACTCTTAGCAGTATGGTGCTTTTCATCTTTCGAAGCATTAGCTGATCCCCACCCCCAACATCCCTGCGAGGCAGGCAGGCTTTGTTATCCCCCTTTCAAAGCTGGCCAGGTGAGCCCAAGGCTGCCCAGGGAGAGGTGGTGTGAGAGCTGGGGTTGTGACTCCCTGACGCAGCACAAGGAGAGTTTCTGTGGGGGCCCATGAGACCCTCGCCTTGGGAAGCGTGACATGTTTTCTGTTGTCCCTGTGTATGGGGATACCTGGTTCTGTGAGGTGTTGGGGAGAAGCACTTTAGACCCTCGATGGTGGTGCTGGGTTTTCTGACATGGACACTTGACCATTAGAAACTGGATGGTGGGGTCCAAACCTCAAAGATGTCAAAGATCCATCAGAGAGTGACAGCTTTTAGTCACTGCCACCTGAGTGGTATTTAACTGGTGATCAAGGCGGTACCACTGAAGAGATCCATTTTTCATTCCTGACCCCCTACGCCATGCAGCCCCTCCATGCGGGACAGTCTTTCAGTATGACTGGAAAGCCAGCATAGAATCATAAGGCCTGGAACAGATCCGAAAAGGTCTTCTAGTCCAGTCCCCTGCACTGAGGCAGGACTAAGTATTATCTAGACCATCCCTGACAGGTGTTTGTCTAACCCGATTTTAAAATGTAATTTGCATGTAATTTCAAGATTATACTGATCCTGCTTGGTGGTGCCCGGCAGCTCCCCTCACTCCCCAATGGAAAGCGCATGTCTGTGCAGCCGTGCCTGCCCCAAAATGACCTCGGAATGCTTGGGATTTTTTCTTTACATGTTCAGAGGGTGCCTCTGTCTATTCCAGGTATCACCTTGCATGTGTATCCCATGGAGCCAGCAGGCTATTAGCAGAACCAGGAATTTAATCTGGCCTCTTACCCCGTATCCTAAGATGGCATCTAGATGATGATGCAACCATGATAAAAACTTGAAAGCAAATTTCACGCAGGTGAAAAGGGCCAGCTCAACAGTCCCTAGAGAGAGCTGCTGCCACCACGCTGCCTCCCCAGACTCGCAAGCATCTCTTGCTTCCCTGAAACATGCTGCTCTTCGACTCCCAGCTTTCTGGAGCCCTCCTTAGAGTTCAGCTTGAATCTGCCAGCTCCATGAGTCACTCCAAGCCACATCAGCTTAAACTCAGTGTATGGCTTCGTTTCACACCCAGGGACGCATGCATGAAGGGACAGTTTTACTGTGGCACTTGATGGCTGAAAAATGTCTCCTACATAGGAAAAATCACGCAGTATGTGGCAACTTTGCAACCCACACAAAAGAAAGTACAATCCGTTGGGCGGGTAGTGATGAAACGGTTCGAGCCAGATAAGGGGGAGGTGGAGCAATGGCTCAGGGCACTCCACCTCTGCCAAACCCCATCCCATCAGATTCTGCATCCAATGGGATGTGCTGGTGTATTTCAGGTACAGAGGAGAGACAAAGCCCGCCTCCTAGTCGAAGGCGATTTGCTTGGATGGCCAGCCAGTCACAAAAAGTGTGTCTATACCTGCAGGCGTCCGACCCACATCAGTACTGGGCGCTGCTCCTGTGTGTGTGTGTGTGTGTGTGTGTGTGTGTGTGTGTGTGTGTGTGTGTGTGTGTGTGTGTGTGTGTGGGTGTGTGTGTGTGTGTGTGTGTGTGTGTGTGTGTGTGTGTGTGTGTGTGTGTGTGTACAACGCCTAGCACAAAGGGCTCCAGGACTGGAGTTTCTAGACACTAGACTAATACAAATAATCATAATAGTATAAACCGGGCAGAGATACAGCGTCTCGCTCTGCTTTGAGCTGCACCAGGCCAGATGTCCAAGTTTTGCCAGCATAGACACGCCCAAAATGTTTGGGTTGGAAAGTTTCAACTTTTCACCCAAAATTTGACAATGTTTGGGTTTGGACTGAACGTTTTCTGGGTTTTGACCAAAAAATGTTGAGAGAAGTGCTTTCCGTGAAAATGGTGGTTTAGTCGAAACCCCAGTTTTCTGGTTTTGACAGACAAATGTTGACCAGCCCTAATTTGGGGGTATCACCATCCCCCGGCCCCGTGCAGCACGAGGTTGTGGCACGCAGTCATTCAAAGTCTGCTTTCACCTCAGGTGCTGCACAGGGTGGGGAGGCAAGTCTGTGGCTGTGCTTGGAGGGGCTGTACTGAGCAAATACGGGCAAGTGGAAGCAGCCTCCGGTCAGCAAAGCCAATGGTGGGGATGGAGTCTGCCTGTGAGGTGGTGTTCAGGGCAGGTTGCCCCCTGGGGCAGGACTGAGGTACCAAGGGGCTGAGGGACAGATTTTTAAAGGTACTGAGGTGCCTGAAGATGAGCCGGGCCCTCTGTCTCCAGTAATATGGAGCTGCTTGGCAACAACAGCATGTGCGAAGTGGCTAGAGCATGGTAGGAGCCAGCCGGGGGTAGGGGAGAAGGGAACGTTGGGTTTGGCCGTCCTGTTGATATAAAGCGACTGACTGAGCTCTTTGTTTCCCTCAGGCTAATGGAGGTTGGCAAGATGCTACTACCCCCTCATCAGTGACTTCCCCCACAGAAGGCCCTGGCAGCGTCCACTCTGATACCTCCAACTGATCTCCCAGCAAATCGCATCCCTGGCTGACCCCAGCCCCACTCAGGGCCGGGGGTGGGAGGGGAGGGTGCTCTCCTGACACTGAAGCAGTCAGACTGGAGGTGGAACCAATCGGCTAAACACAACAAGAGTCGCCTTCTCTTCTCTTTGTCGGGATGCTTTTTTCAGCCAATCTGGACACTTCTTTATACTCTTTTTTCCCTTTCTTTTCTGGGCAGAAGCCACCTCTCCCCTCGCCACCACTCCCGCCCCAACCTTCTCCCTGAAGGATATTTTCAACAGTTAGAAGAATTTAAAGAGGGGGGGGAAAAAAACCAACAACAACAACAAAAGCATCTGTCCATTTCCATGCTGGTGTTTTGAGGAGCCAAAATTTACCTCACTCCTTTGCTAACAGGCAACCCACCTCCTTCAGCTTCTCTTGCGCTCACACTACCTCTTAGCAGGAATACTTCACATCCGCTCTCTCTTCTGCTGCTGCTTCACCACTCTTCTGATTCTGGGGACAGAGCTAACAGGACGCTTTCCTGTTCCGAAGCGATCCCAAAACCTCAGTGAGTCACCCCCGGGGCATTTCCAGTGACAGGGCGGATAAATGCATTCCCAGTGCTGCCAGGCGTGTAGGAAAAGGGAGCAAAACCCCTCTGCTGGGGCTCTCCTTGCTTTCAAAAGGTACCAGGACATTGTGCTTGCAAACAGGTGTAAACAGCAAACGCTAACCCTTCCCTCTGCCACTGTACTTTGCCTCAGACCCCAAACACCAGCCGTTCAGCTCTGCAGCAAACACACATGGCATTTGCCAGTGTGCGAAGGAACCAAAAATAGCCAATATTCTTTGCATCATGGTACTTCTAGGAAGGAAACAGCAGAGAGCAGTGAGTGAGAAACTGTGGGCATCTGTAATGCTAACACTTAGCACTCATAGTTTTACCCAATCAAAGCACTGCAGAAACACCGATGAGCAATTGATGGGGCCGATTTGCATGACACTTATGTTGTTAGCACTGAGAGCGTTGCACTGGGTTTGAAAAGCAAGCCAGGCCTGGCCCGTGTTGTGTTCTGAGGGGGTGTGCATGCCTACCTGCTGGGGAGCTGGATGGGCTCTGGGGTGCCCCTTCTGCAGTTACAGTGAGAAACAGGCTCATGTACCCATTGGTACAATTTAGCCCGTAAAAGGTGTTCAGATAGCATCCTGTGAATTAGCAGGCATGAATGTTCCTTATAGCCAAGCAGATGAGCAGTGAAGACTGAAGGGTGAGGGGAGAGATGGGTGCACACAGTCAATACATAAGTTGAATGGACTGGATACTTTCAGTAGCTATTAATAAACCTGGTCTGTTTTTGTCAGGGGGGAAAATGCCCCATAAACTAAATAATTTTCTAGTTTGGGGATTTCTTTCAAATTAAGGGGCTAGTTTCAGTCCCGCACCTTTTTGTGAATCTAAGATGTGACATGATAAGTACTAAAATAAATCATGTAACATTCCACCCAGCCAATCGGCACCCAGGATCTTTCAGCATTTTGTAGCAGGAGGGTTTGCTCCCAGGGTTGGTTCTCCTGCAGCGCTTGGTCAGCTGTAGGGAGGAGGGGCTCCTGATTGGCCAAGAAGGAGTCGGGGTTTATTCCTGGTGGAACGTTCCATTGCACACTAACAAAACAAAATGAGATAAGGAGGGAAGAATGCAGCCAACAGTAACTTTTGCAACAGAGTTAAAATAGATTGATCTTTGTCTTCAGCTGGAGGCCTCTCTGGTGTGAGGGTGGCATTTCAAATGGGTGAACATAAAGCAGGGCAGCTCTGGCGGCAAGCCCTCCTGGGCAGGAGGGCAGCCTGCATTTAAAGTGCTGCTTGTGCAGTGGGAGGGAATTGTTGCCTTTAATGGGCGAGATGTTATGAAAATATGCCCCATCTTCTCTTTTACGAACTACAGCCCTGAGCCTGAAAACACATATGTGCAGTGGTCCCATTGATCTCAGAAGCATCAAGCTAGGCATGTGTGAGAGTGTCTCAAAGTCTAAGTCTTAAGAGGATCTCTGTGTGGGGGTTAATTATGCATAAATTGCTAAATGTGCTAAATTGCAGAGCCATGTGATCATCAGTATCTATCCATGCACCTTTGAGCATATCACCTGCACTCTGGCCACTGACCTCCACTGGCTTTTTTTCTACCAATTCCAGTATTAGTGTAGTGCAATTATTGAGCTGCTTCAAGTAGCCACCATTTTAAATCAAAGCTCTGCCAGAAAAATAGCCATCCCTCCACTGACAAAAATGTAGATTGGTTTGAGGCCAGACACGGGCAATAAACAGTCCCGCAAGAGTTTATGGCCTTGAGATACTGAGCCCCTGCAAAAGCTAGAATTGGGAGCATGATTCTGTTGAAATGGGAAGGTCCCAACTTACCAACAGGATGTACAACACTTGCTAATAACCCTGGGAGGCTCCAATGTATTGGCTTTGAAATTTGTGCCTATTTTTTAAATAGATAAGCTAATTTGGCTGGATTGTGTAGGTTTCTAAAATGTAGATACTTAGATCTCCCTCCCGCCCCCGAGTCTTGTACAGTTGGATTCAAAGCTTTTTAGAAACTTGGACAAAAAATGACCAACAAATTCTCTCGCTTTCTTCCTACAATTTTCCAGTCAGCTGTGGTGCTGAGACACCCATGTTTAGAGGTGGAGGGATACAAAAAATAGTCCCAATTAAGGTCCAACATGTGAGGGCCCTTCCCCCCCCCACTTTACCCACAATGGTAAGCAGTTACTCCCACAAGTAGTCCCTGCATTCTAGTTTATTGTTATTCATGGTTGTAACTACTCACCAGTGGGAGTAAATTGCCCCATTTGGTCCTAAGCATTTAAAAATTGTCTAGACCATTCCTACCCAGCATGTATAGGACACATGATGGGGCAGCGTGCTATCCTTGGACTGACTGGGATAGCGCATGACGCTGCCAGTCGAGCGGCGTCCCATCCCACACCTGTGTCTATAAAGCTTTTATACTGCATCCCACCATCACGTATTCTCTCTCACCTTGTAGCTAGGTGATACACAAACACCAAATCACCTCCCAGATGTTCTCCCAATATGGTGTCTTGGCTACATCACAGCCTAGGGCCTTGGTCTATCCAAGAACTTAAGCACATGCTTAACTTGAAGCATGTGACCAGTCCTGTTGAAGTCAGTGATTTCAGTTGACAAATGGGAGTGCTTATGGGCTTACAGTTCAGCATGTGCTTAAGTGCTTTGTTGGAGTGGGGTCTGTGGTCCAGATCCTGTGACTGGCTCTAAACAGGTGGACCCCCCACACACACCCCACTGCCTGCATGGGGCCTCAGTGAAATGAAGAGGCCTCCATGTAGGTGCAAGGGCCGTCTGCAGAGCCAGCTGTGATGGTACCTCTTGAAAATGAATCATTTGATAAACAGATTTAAAGCCATGCCAACATAAAGCAGCCTGCCCCTGGCGATCCCTGGTCTGCTTGAGAATCGAATTGCGTGCCATCCACCTCCAGTGTAGCAGGGACCAGTCCTCGGAAGCAGTTAGCTGGAGCTGCATTTATCCTCCCTACAGTTATCTCCCTCTCATTCTCCCATTCCCCACGGCATGACATTGACTCCTTTATGGTATTTAATGCGTCACGTTTTTCGGTTTCCTTTTTCATTCCTTTTACATTTGTTGTTGTTGCTGACTGGTCGGTTGCCTTTTTCTCACAAACTTTGAATTTTTTTTCTTTTTTCTGCCCAGAAAATCCTAACTTCGATACCAAAAAACAAAAAAAAACAAAATGAAACAAAAATAAAAAAAACAAAAACAAAAAAACCTGCAGAAAATTTAAAAAAAATTTTAAAAAAATAAAAATAAAAAAAAAAACCTTGATGATTCTTTCAGCTTTATTAACATTTTCCATTGTTTCTTGCGATTTGTGTCTTGTTCTTTGTAGCATTGATGATAATGAACATTTGATAATGAATGTTCTTGTATATTCAGATAAAGGAAAAAAACCAAAAAAGCAGTCTGAATTTAATAGTGTTTATAATAAAAAAAATTTTAAAATGACCCTCATAGCACGCAAAAGTGAACGGGGAAGAATTTCCACTCCAGTTCTTTCTGTGGCAAAAAGCGCTTCATTCCTGTATAGTTTATAACACCAAACTACCTACATTCATCTTCTCTTTTGGTTTGGTTTTTTTCCATGTTTTTTTAATTTTATTTTGTTTTTAATTTTCTCGCATTTGTGAATTAGTTCAAGAATGCTAGAAAACTGTAGAGTTGTGCACACTCATTTCCTCTTACACAATGTTTAAAAAGTGACAGTAATTCATTTTGTAAAACTTTAAAAAAAAAATGGTTGGAATAGTGAGCATAATAGGTACATTCTAACACTTTATGTTTATTAACGTTGAGACCCAGTTAATTACGTTTTCTTTTTGTTTTGCGTTCCTGTTTTTTTCCTTTCAGGGGCAATTATGATGATGATGATTATGATTATTATTTTTAAATTGTCCAGGACTATGGCCTTGTAAACTTCCCTTCCTCCACTTTTGATGTATATTCAAGGTGATGTGAAAAGCTTAATTGGCAAAAATCCATTTTTTGGTTTGATTTTTCTCATGGATTCAGATCTGCTCTGAAAGGACTTCACCCTGTTCCCCCTCCCTGAAAATTCAAACATTGCTGATCTTGGGCTTGCTTGCTCAAGTTCAGTGGAAGTTATGAGCCTAAATACCTTTGTAGAGCTGGGCCTAAGTGCCATGGTGTGGGCCAAGACACTCATCCTGCTAGGTGCTGAGTGCTTCAGCAAAGGGATGAGCACTTGCAGGGGCAAGATTTAGCTATGGACCCCAAACCACACCTACTTAGCAAAGCTTTTCAGCATGTGCTTAAGTGCAGTTACGGTCAACTGAGCACATGGTGAAAGTTAAGCACTTGCTAAACGTTAGGATGTTTCAAAGGAATTTAAGGTTGTTCAGCACCCAGATCCCGTTGCATCTCTGTCTTAGGTGCTGTTGAAAATCCCAGGCTGAACTGCTTTGCTGAATAGGGATGGACTTCATACTTAAATGCTTTCCTGAATCAGGGCCCCTGTGAAATGCAAGACTTAGTCTCTGAGCTCAACCCTTTCAAATTGTAGCAGGCCCAGCCTTTCACAGCGCAGCTGGCAGTTTCTTTCTGTCTATAATTCTGAGCACTATCAAATGATAGGGGTTTGCTTTCCTTTTCATGATTGATCCCAGCAAAAACTTGCTGCTTCTCTTAGGGCTTGATCCAAACCTCATTAAAGCCAATGAAAGGCTCCAGT